GGTCATGATCCTGGAGTCCCGGGATCGAGTCCCGCATCGGGCTCCCTGCTCGGCGGGGAGCCTGCTTCTCCCTCTCCCACTCCCCCCTCTTGTATTCTCTCTCTCTGTCTCATTCTCTCTCTCAAATAAATAAATGAAATCTTTAAAAAAAAAAAAAAAAAAGAAATGGAACCTTGAGAACATTATCTGGTTCCCCAAACTGGAGTGAATCTGGTAGAATCCATGTCTCTGCCGTGAGAGGGAAGTGGGGGCAACCCGGCGTAGGGGTGAGCACGCCCGTGACCCTGCAGATCTGGGGGGAGAGCTAACCGGCAGCATTATTGGGATAGAGTTCACATGTCCCAAAATCCAGCTCTTGAAAGTGGTTTTTAGTACATTGACCAAGTTACGGGACCACCACCACAGTGTAGCTTGACATCACTTTCATCATCCAGTTCCCATTAGCACCCACTCCCCCGCCAGCCCCCGGTCGCCTCGCATCTGCCTTCTGTCTGTGGACTTGCCTTCCGGGCCTGCCGTGTAGACGGAGTCACGGCGTCCGGGTGTGGCGTCTGTCGCGTACGGCCAGGGTATGGTCTCATTTCTCTGATGACTGTTGGCCATTTGTGGATCTTTGGGGAAATGTCTATTCAAATCCTTGTACTGGTCTTTTTATGACTGAGTTTGGTCTTTCGTGTGCCCCAGGTACAAATCTGCTATTAGCTACGGTTTGTGAGCGTTCTTGTCGGGGAGCCACGGGGACCTGTGCTCACGGTCCCCGAGGAACACGGGAATCTGTGGGGCGCTCCGGGTCACCGCCCACCAGATCCCTGTGTCCCGAGTGGGTGTCGGACGGTTTCTCACGGTCTCCCAGGCGATGAGGCGCGGGCTGCTCACTCCCCGCTTCCGTGCCCTCTGGAATGGGCCCTCGGCGCGAGGGCGTTGTGACCACGGCTCTGTCGTTTCCTTGCTCCTCAGGCTGAGGGTGTACAGACGGAGCTCTGCACCTGGAACTTCGCACACAGCGCGGGCCCTGTGGTGCTTTCAGACTCCCACCGGAGCCTTTGTTTCCGAAGCCGTGTGGGGTCCCCTGGCTCCAAGCCCAGCACGTTCTGGCTGTGCTTCCCCTCCCTTCTGAGCAGACAAGCCGGGTGCCCTCGCGGCTTCGTGGGGTTGGCTCTGTGCAGGCCTGCTGGTCACCGCGGGTCCTAGGCCGAGCCTGGGAAGACAGCACGGGGCGTGGGCTTGGCCTTCCATGCACTAAGGTCTGGGGGGGCTCATCACATTTGGCCCCTGTAAGTCTGTTGTCCACACCTGCACGGCCCTCGGTGACCCAGGGCCTGTGTTAGGGGCACACGCAGGTTCCAGGGTCCCCACCGCCTTCACCACGCTCTGCCCTGCCGTCCGGGGGCGAGGGAGAGATTTCACAGCTCTGGGTGAAGCGGGGACCCGAGGGGAGGCAGGTCCCACAGCCACACAGCGTGTGTTCCAAAGTCAGCAGAGGCTTGGGGTGGCTGGTGCGTGCGTGAGGGGTCTGCAGCCCGCTCATCCCCCCAGTCTGTGGCAGCCCAGTGCAGCCTCTGCGGGCCACCCCACCCCCTCCCAGTTCAGCCCCTCCGTCTCTATTCCCAAAGAGAGGTGCCCGGGCAAAGGGAAAGAGCCCGTTCCCTCCGCTGCTGGTGGCGAAGCGTTTCCCGCCTTCCGCGAAGCACCTGGCGGCGAGGGAGTGTGGCCCTCCCCTCTGAAGGGCGCTCGCTCACCGGGCCCAGCCTGCCATCCCTTCCTCTGCTTCCGTCCAGTCCAGCGGGACAGGAATGGCCATGAGGTTTCTCCTGGTGTGGGGACACTGCGGTGAAGAGAGACAGGCGGGTAGGTATATTTATTTTGACACTTTGTAGATTTAAAATTAATCGCTGAAACAACTCTGCATTTGTAATTCGGACACGTGACCTGCTATTTTGCTCGGCAGCAGGATGTAAATACCCTTGAAATACTGCAATTTGTAAGGAGTGTTAATCATGTCTCTTGGGAAGATGTAACTGATTTACCGCATTGCAAGTTAGGCGGGTGGAACGAGGAAGAGCCGACTCTGAGAGGCAGTGCTCGTGGGTTGTAGATTGGCACTGCCCCGTGGGGTCGTATTTGAGGTGTTACATGATCATGTGGAAACCGCGCGTGTCCGCTAGACAGTGTGGAGGGTGTGAGTTGGCCTTGATAACGTTCATTCCGACTCTGCCTCCCTAGGGACGGGGGACCCCTCTGGGGCAGCGGGTGCCTCCGCCTGCCTAGTGGGGCTGAAAGCCAGTGGCTGGAGAAAGGTTTTCAGGATTTTCATTTTTGTATTAAAAGTTATGTTTTTATGCTTCTTTCTTTTCCTGGTTTCTTTATCATGTATTCTTTTTCAACGTAAGTTTGCAAATCGGCCATGAGAAGCCCCCTGGCTGTGTCCGGAGAAAGAAAGGGATATCAGGGGCACCCAGAGATTGACATGAAGCTCTTACGAGGCAGTTTAGTCAGCACCCCCGAAATGGGAAGGCCAGCAGGAAGGGGCGTGGGGCGGTGGGGGAGGGCTCGCACGGCTCGGGTGTGGCCTGGCCCTCGTGGCGCCGGGTTCCTGTAGGGCCGCGGGCTCCTGGGAGGGCCACGTCCCGAGTTCCTGCCAGTGAGGGGCCAGCCCGTTCTCTCCCGAGTCCCTGGTGAGCGTGTCCGGAAACACGGGTGGAGTTAGGAGACCAGGTTGGTCTCCGCCCTCAGTCTGCACGGCCGTCTCGCAAAGCCAGGCCCTAACAGGAGGCCCGGAGGCGGCGTTGGCTGAGGGAACGTACATGCGTGTGCTGGGGCGCACCTGGACGCTCCTTACCCCAGGAAGGTGGGGATGGGCAGACCAGTGGCGCGTGAGCAAAACGACAAAGCGGGCTGATGTGAGGCTCTCCTGAGCTCAGCAGAGATGCTCTCACTCACGTTACCCTATCCACGTGGCTTCAGGAGCGCGCCTCCCCGACCCACAGCGAGAGGGAGGCAGAAGACCCCGGACTCCACGTGGCTGCCCGCGTCATTTCATGCTCTGTTCATTGTCGACAGCTGTGGCTGCGGGCTGTCCTCAGGCTCCGAGGAGCTGCATGAGGCTTGTGTTCAGTGACAACCGAGCCCGAGCTTTGGTCTGACCCACCCTTCTTCCTGTCCTGTCACACTGACCCCCTTTTCCCACCGCTTCCCGTAGCCCAGCAGGCTTGAGCTAGGCCGCCAGCCTGGGGGTGGGGGGGGCAGGACCCTGAGTGAGCTGGGCCGCCGGCCTGGGGGTGGGGGGGGCAGGACCCTGAGCGAGCTGGGCCGCCGGCCTGGGGGTGGGGGGGGCAGGACCCTGAGCGAGCTGGGCCGCCGGCCTGGGGGTGGGGGGGGCAGGACCCTGAGCTGGACTGCTGTGTGAGGCTTTATTTTAGCTTCTGTCTGTAGCTGTGGGGTCTTGGTACCTCGTGCTGACAGTGTAGGGTTGGATGAGTGTTGTCAAGATCCTTCTGGTCGGAAGATGTTTACCTTGTGCCTCGTGGGCATGACCCTTTGAATAACGTGAGGACGGGTCAGAGCCCAGCCGCCCATCTTCCCAGGAGAGCGCTTGAGCAGGGAGACAGGAGACAGCTCACAGCTCCGTCCTGCACTCGCAGTCTTACCCTCTTGTTAAAGACCTGCTCGCACGTGTCTTACAGGCTGTCTTCTGTGGGAGGCCTGAGGGTCGTGCTGAGCACTCCGTCTATGCAGGAGCCCGCCGTGTTCTTCCCCCTGACGACCAGCTTGGAAGGGCTTTGTCGCCGGCTCCCGCAGGGGTGCAGACCGCCCGCTCAGACTGGTGCCTTGGGGAGCGTAGCCGTGGGGGTTGAGTGAGATCGGGGCAGCTCAGGCCTCGGCAGGTGGGGCCCGGCGCAGGTTCCGTGGGTGAGGCCGCGCGTTAGCCAGCACTCGGGGGCTGTCCCCACTAACGCCGCTCTGTTTCCCGCAGTGTGCTGGAGAAGAGAACTGGGTGGACAGTCGGACCATCTACGTGGGGCACAGGGAGCCCCCCCCAGGTGCTGAGGCCTACATTCCACAGAGGCACCCCGACAACAGAATCGTCTCCTCCAAGGTGAGCTTCTGTCTGGGACCTTGTTTCCCATGGGCCCTGTGGGGACGGCGGTTACCCGCTCTGCTCCTGGGGCCATCGCCGTGGACGCTGCCCACCCCACTGAGCACTGCTGTTGGCGTCTGCGTGGGGCTGGCCCACTCGTCCGTAGCTTGTCCCCACAGCTGGTGGGACGTGCATCCTGTGTGTTAGACCACCTGTCCTTCACGTCTCTTTAACATGCCACGGACACAGGAGGCCTACTTCTGCCACTGATGTGTTTCCTGCCCGGCCACATCCCACCCCCGCCAGGGTCTCCTCACCTGTAGAGATGACACTGAATGTCCCTGGTGGCAGGAGGTGCTAGTGCAGCCCCCTTGTCGACAGGAACACTGGGCACGTGTCCCAGTCTGTCAGGTGGCATGGTAAGTGCCACAGGAAGGCTGTGATGGGGATGTCCTCACTCAAGTGAAGCGCGTGTTCTCCTTGCCTGGAGCGTGGGAACAGAGGCACACTTCACAGGCTTGCTGAGTCACCGGTCAGTGGCTCTCCAGGACGGCTTTGAGCAAAAAACGTAAACGATGGCTTCCCGGATTTTGGAGAACTTTCCCGTTAGACGCATACACCCATGCATCCATGAGGGCGTGCACGCACATGGCTGTGTGTCCCGGGTGGGCACACCTGTGTGGTGGGCCCACTAGATCCCTGTGTGGCCCACGTGTCTGGATATGTGTGGTAGAGCTACCGAATTCCTCAGGAAGCTATCAGAGATTGCCCTAAGTTTAAGAATACTTGAGAACAGAAAAGCTTGGCTCTTCAAGGCTCTTTTTTTAAATGGACCGATTTTATTTAAAACTGTGATGGAAAATAACAGTGATGATGATGATCCTAGCTTCAACTCGCCGTGTGGACAAGCAGATTGCTCATCACGGAAGTCCCACGCAGTGTGCATGGTACGTGGTCACCCAGAGGGATGCGTGCGGGGGACGTGGCCGAGCAGGACCTTTCCCGGGGTGCCGGGATCTTTGCAGCGGTGACCTGTGTAAACTGAGCGGTCTCAGCTGGAGCTCACTGAAGACTGCGTCACCGGTGGGCCCGACACAGGAAAGGAACCTCAGTCACACATCTTAAAAATCAGCTCCTGTGCCGTTCAAGTGCTTCGAGAGTCAGGGAAGCGCGCTGGACGCCACGGCTGCAGGTGCCGCATGCGCTGAGCAGGGCAGGGCGGGGGCAGGTGACGGGGCTCAAAGCCGCCCACACTGCCCAGTGTCCAGCCAGCAGGACATGCGTCAGGCCCTTCGGCCACCGATGGCTTCCCGCTGCGGTTGGTTTCTCCCTCTAGGGACAAAGCCCCCAGTGCCTTTCGGGTCGATGTGGGAAGTTCTGCACAGGGTTGTGCAGAGGAACCTTCTGGAAGACAAGGCTTCTGGTTGACTGAGGCCGTCCGAGGGCCTTCCTGATGCATTTGGTGGAATATAGCCAGATGCTGAAGGATGCTTTGTTTAGGACAAAAAGCCCCGTCAGTGTTTTAGGGGAGACAACCAAAAGCAGCTATTTCTAAATCCTATTCTTGACTCTTCGTGCTCTGACTCAAGTTGTAGAGCCAGTTTATTATCTTCATTTTTTTCTTTCAAATACTCCCGCAGTGATTTTGAGGTGCCTTGTTGTCTTCCCACCTTTTCTCTCCCTGGGGTGGCACCCATGTCCCCAGCTGCCCTACCCGCACTGGGCCCCCAGCGCTGTCTCAGTTTTTGACAAAGCGGTGGAGGAAGGAGCGTTTGAGACAGACGTGCAGCATCCCGGGGTTTTTCACAATGGGTCCTTCTCAGGAAAGCTCCTCCAGAGCAGGAAGAACTGAGTCAACATCCTTGTAAGAGGCAGGTCAGGCTGAGGCCACACAGACGGTCGGAGCCTGTGTCCCCGATCAGAGCGGGAGGGGCCCTGCATCCATGCTCCTCTTTGTTCCAAGAGGACTCGCCCTTCCTCGAAGAGGCGGGGTTAGTGGCTCAACGCCCGTGCACGGGGGATGATGGTGTGTCATTTAAGGAGAAATCACGTACAGCACAGCGTCTGCGCTAATCAGAGTCGTACGGAAGAGGCTCTCAGAAGGCCAAGGACCGCTCACGAGCTCTGTTGGCGGGGTGGACGGCAGCCGTGACGTCTGCCAGCAGCTAGAGCCCATAATTGCTTTCATTTATCATTTAAAAACAGCCCAGGGTATACGGCATAAACAACGTAACTGGTAAAACCTAAGTCCCAGCAGGTGTGGAGAATGTGTGTTGTAACGTATGTACGTTTTCTTGGGAAGAACACATTTATCTTAAAAGAAGACCACCAGCTAAGACTCGTCCAGGCAGAGAAGCCTCGCTCCGCAAGCTTGATCGTGTTCAGTCGGAGAGCTTTCACACGGGGGTGAAAAAGCCAGCCCGCCGTGCTCGACGTGGACCTGTTCCACGGGTGGGCCGATGTTGGCCTCAGTGATTGGTGAGGGTTCGGGTTCCTTTCTGGGAACACCCTGGGCAGGTGTCTGGGATGAAGGAGAAACGAGAGCCCACTCCCCAGCGCATCCCCTTCCCTTTGCCTCTGACCGCGTGCACCCAGCCGCTGCTCGAGCTCACAGGCAAGCAGATCCCAGCTTCAGCAGAAGGACCGGCCACGGCTCCATCAGTTTCACGAGATTGTCCTTGGGGCACAGGATGCGTGTGGCTGCCAGCTCGGACCTCAGGACACTACGGTTACACGCAGGGCTCAGGCTATGCTGTCTGTCCGTACCTTCGAGAAAGCTGCGTCACCTGTGATCGTTGGCAGGCGAAGATTACCTTTTCCAACGAGGTGTGGATGGACGGCATTCCTGCGGACTTCGAGTGAAGCGCGGCCCACTGGAGAAGAACCAGCCTCAGAACAAAGCCGGGGATCGACCTTCAGCTGCGCATCTGCCGCTGAGCCCGCACCTTCCCCGTGGCACCCGTGGCACCGTGGCCCGCACCTTCCCCGTGGCACCCGTGGCACCCGTGGCACCGTGGCACCCGTGGCACCAGCACTGCCTCTCACTGGCCCGTCACGATGCGCACTCGTTTTTCTGACATCGGGGATCCAGAATGGGGCGTCATTTTCTATTTTTACATCCCGGTCTCCCGGTCGTACACGAATGAGGAAGCTCAACTCCGGGTACGCGGACACGTCCTAGGGGCGATCGGGGCTCCGTGCACGGCTGGGTGCCAGGCCCGTGCTCAGGTCCCGCAGAGCCGAGGCCGCTTCCCACGTGTTCTCGTCTGACCTCCCGGCGCTTGGCAGAGAGCAGTGCCCAGGGCTTATCTCTGGTTTCCTTCCACCACATTTCCGGGGTAGACCAGGTGGGCCACATTCTTCTTTGTCCTGATCCACGCTCCCAGCGACTCATAGAACCACGGTGACCGCCGCAGAACCGAGCCGGGGGCTGGTCAGGTGTCCTGCTCGCAGACCCTCCCGCGTGAAGTGTTGGCAGTGTGAGCGAAAAGCGAGGAATAGCAGCTGTCCCGTGCCGTTCCACATCGGGGTGAAGGGAGGTGCTCCGGCCGCCTCCCTTCATCCCAGGCACGTGGCTGAGCCCGGGGACCCCAGGACTACGTGCCAGCTGCTGCCGGGACGGCCGTGGGAGCCAGGGCCTGATACCATGCCAGGGTCCGCGGAGCGCGTGACGTCGTGGCCCCGTGTCCGCTCAGACACTCAGCTCCCCAGACGTAAGGAGGACAAAGCGTGTGCGGTGGCCCCTCCGTCCTCCGCTTGCTGGCTCTCGTGTGTCACCCAGTGCCCATTTACTGTATCCCACCCGCGTGGTGCTCATCTTCCCGCGCACCCGCTCGCGTTCAGATTAGCTCACTGGTTTTCACTTTTCTTGTCATACGCCACCCGGAGTTAGTGACCCTCTTTTTGACCACGTTAATAATCAGCAGTAATGATTCATTATGGTGATTTATCCTGTGAAATAAGGGGATTACAAGGTGTAACGTTTAAGCTGCCGCGTGGCTTCTCCACGCCTGATTAGCAGGAAGCAATCATTTAAGTGGCTTTCAGTTCCAAATCTGAGCCAGCCCCGGGCACACTAGATTTGGGATGCTGAAAGGGGTCCAGAAACGGCACACTCAAACAGGACAAGACCAGACGTTCACATGATGTTCTAGGGTTCTTCCATTCGGAAGCAGGTGACATTCTGTTTTATTTCATTACACGTATAAGACGAAAGCTTTCTAGCATGGAAACGTTCAAGAATGTGTAAGAGGTCAGAGGGTGGTGTGATGAGGCTCTCATGCCCTTGTCACCCCAGCAGCTCCCCCCGGGTCCCACGGTCCTCCACCAGCATTGTGAAGCAGATCCTGAACAGCACTGGGTTTTCATCTGTAGACACTTCGGGAGACAGAAGATGGGGTTTTAACCAACTGAGCCACCCAGGCGCCCTGGGAATATGGGGTTTTAAGTGGGAGCTTTTTCCATTAATGTGATTTTGGTACTGAGTAACATATTATAGGTCCTTGGGGACATTTTTGATTCACAGATAGTGAGTATGGGCGTGGGTGCTGGGCAGTAGTAGGTCGGTTTCATGGGGTGGGGCCTTAAAAACAGTTCCATCTTGGAGTCGGGAAATCTGTGAAGGATCACGGATTATTCCAGGCTGGTCACAGAAACACAAAAATGAGGCATAAATGCTGTGACTGCCTAATAACTTACGTTCCTTTTAAAAGTTGATGGAAAGTGACTTTTTCATTATGGCCCATTTAAAAGAAAAAAACTTATCTATCTTTCTTAAAAATGTAAAAAGGTTCCTTGTGTTTGTACTGTTTGTCAAGCTATAGAATTTTAATGTCCCGTTATGTTTTCAGCACCAGTTTAAGCCAGAACTTTGAACCCAGCTGCACTCCTTCAGGGCTCATGCTAACGTGCTTACTTTATACAGGAAAAACTAGAACACAGTCCTGAAATAATTTGCTAAAATTTACTTGATTTTTAAGTGTCAAGACCATGTTGGATACGGGGTCTGACTCCACAAAGGCCGTGTGTTTTGCAGTGGAACAAAGAGTAAATATTTTCTGAATTCCATAGAGTGGCCAAATTATCCCGAGGTAGGGTAGGAAATTAAGAATTCAAAACATGGCGTTTTTGTTTTTGTTTTTTTGTGGGGTTTACGGGGGACACATTGTCTATATTTTGGGAGAATTGGCTGTTGGGGTTGGTTTCTGTTTTTGTTTTTCTGTAATGGAGAAACGGAGGTGAAGAAGATCTAGCTCTGTGTTCTCTACCCTCTCTTAGTGTCTGTGGCTACATTTCTGATCAGGAGACCTTCTGTTTGGTTCTCAGTCTGTTTGCACTCAGATGGAGAAAGCCTTGTGCGCACTTGACAGAATCCAACACCATTGCTGAAGAGTTTCAGCAAACTAGGAATGCAGGAGAATTTCAACTTGATAAAGAGCATCTGTAATAGACCCATAGCTAATACTATCCCTGATGGTGAAAACTGAGATGCTTTCACCCCAGGACCGAGAACGATGCCCATTTCCCTCTTGCCACCCCATTCAACGGCTTCACTGGATGTCGTGGCTAATACAGTGAGGAAGGGAAGGGGTGCAGGATAGGCAGACTGGGCAGGAAGAAACAAGGCAAGTGGCATGAAGGTCTGTGGAAAAAATCCCAAAGAAAACTCCCAACAGAATCTGTTGGGACTTACGAACCATAAGACCAAGGCCAGCAGCAAACAGTTGAATTCAGAACTTAAAATTTTCTGGCCTTCAAAAGACACTGTTAAGCCACTGACTGAGGAAATGTTTGCCAAACATATGGCCTGTAGATGCCAGGTGTCTGGCGGTACGTGGAAGGGGAAAGGTGCTGGGGGGTCGGACGCGGTGGGGCCGGGCAGTACGCAGAGAGCTAACACACAAACACCAACACAGTGTTTACTGGGGGGTAATGACATCCGGGACATTGTTGTTCTCAACGCAGAAGGTAAGGAAACTGGTCTCCTGAGGCAAAGATGAGAAGTCTGGAGGGTAGGTGGTGGCCAGCACTCCCCTGTCCGCCCTCCACTCCCTGCACGCGAGGAGGTGTGCGTGGGGCCGTCTCCACCCTGGGACACGGTGGCCTCGCGACGCTGACTTGGAGTGTCGCTTTCTGTGACCAGCCAGTGACGCTGTCACAGACAGAAGAGAAGGAAGTAGTCAGGGAGGAATGCCGAGCACGTACGTGTTAACGATCAGAGGTTTACGCTTTATGAAACATATTTTAATGGTGAAACTAGTGTTAGGCTGCTTTGCAGGACATGGGATTACCTGGGGTTGGGTAACTCGTGCTCTTTTGGAATACCTGTTCTATGTTAGCTGTTCATTTTTGTGGTCAACAAATGGATAAAATACCTACAGAACACCCTAAACGTTGACTTGTGAGTTCTGTATCTAAAACTAAACATTTTGTGCTTTGAAATCCAGTGCGGTCCTCATGTAGTAGACACTAAAAAAGTAAAATGTGATTAAAATGACACGTTTTTGTTTTTCTTTTATACAGTACACATTTTGGAACTTCATACCCAAGAACTTATTTGAACAATTCAGAAGAATAGCCAACTTTTATTTTCTTATCATATTTCTGGTACAGGTAAGACCAGCTGTCTTTTTTTTAATCACCTCAAGTGTAAAGTCTAATAAGCAACGCTTTATTCTCAGGAGATTAACTATGGTTTGCTAACGAGAAAGAGCAGGGACCTGGAGCCCTTCATGTCTCCTTCATGGACAACTGTGTTGGTTCAGAGAGGCGTCTAAGCTGAAACAGACATGTGAACAGTCTGCCTTGGGGTTGGGTCTGGCCACCTTCCAGTCCTCGAGGCAAAATCAGGAGCCCCCTGATCTTTAGGGGAAACTGAGCAGCCACGCTGAGCGTTGTTGGGTGGATCCTCCTCCTCAGTGCGCGTGGGGAGAGCGAGAAGAGAGAAAACCACAGTGGGGTCTGAACGAGGGAGCAGGGATCTGATGTGTTTTAAGACTAGCAATCTCATTTTTCTCAGTCATGCAAAATACAGCAGAAGGGCTTTTAGAATGTCCCCAACATTAAGTTATTCAAATAATGTAATTGAAGTGTGGGACCAAAAGCAGAGCAGTGAATTAAAATAAAATGCACGGCACAGTCAGGCTTCCGTCTTTGCCACTGTTAGCGTGGTTTCCTTAAGCAGGTCCCTGAACTAGAGCAAGTCACCCTCACTTTCATGGTAAATAGAGTGACTTACCCCTACTCTGACTTATCTCTAGTGAGGGGATAAAGTGAGTTTAAAATAAGCGAAAGCAAATGTTTCTGTTGGTGTCGTAGGCCAGCCAGTCTAAGTCGCTAGGACGTGCTTTGAGGCTCTGTAATTCTGCTTTAATTGCAGTTGATCATCGACACCCCCACGAGCCCCGTAACCAGTGGGCTTCCGCTGTTCTTTGTCATCACCGTCACGGCTATCAAACAGGTAAGACGTCTGCAGAGAAAGGGAGGGCGGCGCCATCTCATTATATAATGTTGCCTTCTGTCCAAAGCAAGATGATCTGGTTTGCTTCAGCTAGTTCACAGGAAATTTAGCTAAGTTCTAGAAATTCATTTGGGTAATTGTCTTAGATTGACACTTGAGCTAAAATAAGAGAGATTAGGAAACATAGCAGCTAGGGTGGCATCCTGTGAGTCTGAGGAGGAAACCAAGGTTTTCATGTTCAGAACCAACCAGAGATGGAATCGATTTTTAGAAGAGTTTCTTAGCCTGTCCACACTCTGGACTGTCTGAACCGCAAGCACCTGCTGTGCCCAGAGCCCGGGCTGTGGTTTCCTAAGCGAGCTTGTGGACTCCTAACTCAGGGCGTGCCTCGGGCTCTTCTCCCTGGTCCCGGTCGCTGACAGGGAGAAGAACATGTCTCGGTTATGTCCACTGTTCATCTGGCCATCTCTGTGCTGTAGCCATCAGCTCTGTCTGGATCCAGAAAATTCCCATCCCCTCGGAAGGAGGCCCTGTACCCGCAAGCAGTCCCTGGCTTCCCCGCCCCAGCCCCCGCCAGCCGCCGGTCTGCCTTCTGTCTTCTGCCGTGTGGGTGCGGAGCAGCTCTCTGTGCTTGTGGTGTGCACTTCCTTGGTGACTAACGATATGGAGCATCTTTTCCCGTGCTTATTGGCTGTTTGTGTGTATTTCTTCAGAAACATGTCATGAAATCCTTCATCCATCTTAAAATTGGGTTTTTTGTCTTTTGATTGATGAGTTGCAAGAACTCATTATATGTTCCAGAAACAAGTCCCTTATCTGCTGCAGGCTGTTGAACCTAATGATGTTTGCATTTCAGGGTTGATAGGTCGACTTTTCATTTGGGAGATCTGGATAATTTGTAAAATGGCAGCTTCTAGTGACATTATTGATGGTCCAGTTCTTGCTGACAAAGCCATGCTTTTCTGATGTTTGTCTTTAAATAAAAATAGAGAAAACGAAACACGTATTTTACGTGAGAACAGCCACTGGATGACAGTGGTATGTCAGTGCCGCAGAGTGATTTTCTCTAGATTGAGGAAAAAACGTAGAACGGAATCAGGTTACCTTCTAGTGTGTGTGTAAAGAGCACCTCCAGGCCGCGTTCTGCCAGCCCTGCTCATCTTCAGTACGAGAATGTTTGCAGAAGTATTTTTTTTAATATAGAACGGTGAAGAGCATTTAAGGATGTGTCTTCATTTCAATTTGGGTTTTATATCTCACTCACCAGTAATCTGGAAATAGAGATTTGAACAAAAATGATTTTACTTCATACCCATTAGATTGTCTTTTAAATGTAAAAGCCTGAAGAGCAACCAAGGATGATAATGTGGTCAAGCACATGCACCTGCTGCTGATGGGAGCATGGTGGCGCCATCTTGGAAAACCATTCGGCAGTAACTGATGGAGCGAGGCCGTGAATGCAGTTAGTGTGTATTATATGCATCTCAGAATAGACCACAGAGGCCCGGTGGTGCGTCCTGGGATGTTCATTGCCTGCCTCTTTGGGGAAGAAAAACTAGGGACAGGTTGTTCTTCAGTGAGGCAATGGGCAGCACATTTGTTGTGGAGGGGGGGGATTGCGGGGGAAGGTGCAGTGATTGAAATGAGTGAGCCCCTGGCTTCCCACCGCTCCACCTGCCCCCTATCTCTCTCCTCCTCACCTTCCCCGACCTCAGGACACCTCCACACTCTGGCTCCTACCCTGGACAACTCAGATGCCCTCAGCCCTCCCCTCCTCAGCCCTGTTCCCTGGTGACCCCAGCCAACACATACAGGGGATCCGATTCCCTTCCTTGCAGCTCAGGAAGCCCCTTTGGGGAGCCTGGCATCTGCTAGTCCCAGATGTGCCTCGTCCCCCCTGGGCGCCAAACGCATCTGACCCCCTCTGTTCAAATCTCCAGCGACTTCAGTGAGTTGGGCTCACCCTCCCGGGCTGCCCACCCTGCCTGGCTTTCTGCATGCCCCACACTGTCTTCAACCTTCCAGGCCAGCCTGGCCCTGGCCCCTGTCCCCACCCACGTCCGATCTTGCCCCCTCATGCCGTTTACCGTGGTGTCACCTACTCCTTTCCGGGCAAGCGCTGAGCATCCGCTGGGGGCCAGCTCAGACCCTTCTCCTCTGAGCCCCCCCACACACATTTGCACACATGCGCTGTGGGGCCTGTGACACACTCACTGGGTCAGGGAACCAGGTGAGGCTCACGCTTGGGCCTGCAGGAAGGAGAACGGGAGACCCCCACCCTGGCCCTCCTGCCTGAGTGAGGCCTCGGCCAGGGCGCTGACAGTGAGCAGCTAGGCGTGGCCATCCCAGTGGTCAGCACAGACAATAGACATGTGTCCCACAGGAGAATGTCCAGAAGCCTCTGAAGGTGCCAGGGGCCGTGAAGAAGTGGGTACCCACGGTCACGGCCCATCCAGCCGGGTCCAGAGCGGCTGGCTCAGGGCTGAGGGCTCTCAGCGGACTTTGGCTCCACCACATGGGCGTCTTCTCTCCCCTTTAGGGCTATGAGGACTGGCTTCGCCATAAGGCAGACAACGCCATGAACCAGTGCCCTGTGCATTTCATCCAGCACGGCAAGCTGGTGCGGAAGCAGAGCCGAAAGCTGAGGGTAAGCAACACTGGCGCATTTCTTCAGCCAAAACCGGGAACAGTTAAAAGCCAAAAAGCAGCAATGCAGCAGGGTTTTAATTTAGCCAAACCTGTGCCTGGAATTGCTTCTTCACTGGGTACAGTCCCGACCACATCCCCAAACCCTTCTCACTAAAGCTAAGCACCTACCACTGTTTCCTTAACTTTAATTTTACTCATTTTAAGTTGTAATAAGCTTTCTTTTTTAGAGCAGTTTAATTCCGCAGACCCCATCAGGGTTGCCTGAACTTTAGGAGATTGTTCCAACCAGTCAGGACAGAGGAAGCTCTAGGACGCTGTTGGAAAACTTGTCCTAGAACGGAAACTCTGAGATGAGGAACGGAAAGCTCACTGAAGGTTGTGTTTTCATTCCCGGTTGCAGTGAGCTGTGAGTGTAACTGACGCATCGGTATCTGCTTAAACGTTTGATTATGTCACTCACATGGCTGGTTTTCACACCTGCACTAGCCAGTGGGAAGCACCTGCGTGTGCAGCAGCTGGCGGTGTGGACGCGAAGGCTTGTCCCTGGGGAGTGTCAGCTGTGAGCCCAGGGATGGAGCCCGGCTGGGCCCTCCTGCCTCCTCCTCATGCCCGGCTGCGTATCATCTCTGAAGCCCCTGATCCCCGCACCCCGTGCCCATCCCCCACCCCATGCCCATCCCCTCTCCCTACCCGCACTTCCCCTCCCTCTCCACCCCATCCCCCCTACTCCACCCAGCCAAAACCCACCTGAAGGCTTGCTCACATGTCACCAGCACATGGCCATCTTTGTGAACCTAGTCCAACATGTGTCATACACACTATTGTATGTATTTTTAAGATTTTAAGCAACATTTTCTTTGTTTTTATTTTTGTTTTTTTAAGTTTTTTTTAAAAGTAATCTATGCCCAACATGGGGCTTGAACTCACAACCCTGAGATCAAGGGTCTCATGCTCCACCAACTGAGCCAGCCAGGTGCTCCTGCATCTTCTTTATTTTGTAAGTTTTCCTGACCAGGTGTTTTAGGACTTCTGACTGAGCTCCCCTCACTTTACCTGGACTGGTGATGATTTCTTGGCCGTCACGGGCTCTGGAACGGAATGCTGGTGGGGCCCTGTGCACATATTAACAGACTAATTCAGACCCTAAGCCCTTCACGTACTTCCCCTTAATGACCGTATTTCCTTGGCAAAGCCTTCTATACTTTTAATAAACAGACCTAAATAGCATCAACCAGCAGAAAATTGCATTTTTAATGCCTTGATCTCCTATGGGAAATGTCTGTTCTGTAGCTGGCCAGTTGGAGCCGAGAGGGCTCTGCATGGACAGTGTGAGACAGGGCCAGGCTGGCGGAGGTGCCCGAGGCCATTCGAGAAGAGTCTCCAGTGGTCCGTCGCTAAGATCACGTTATCTCAAGACTGTCACGGCGTAAATGGAATCACATAAGCTGCATTTGGGGACTGGTCCTCCATTTAGCCCGTTCCTCTGAGTCCCATCCCCTCCTGTGCATCAGGAACCCCTCCCCCCACCCACCCATCACAGCTGTTCACACCCACCAGTTGAATTTTCTAGATCGACACCTTCCTGCAGGAATAATTCCCACTCAGACTCATTAACAAACACTTGAACTTGTCCGGCTTGGGCTCAGTCAAGGATAATCGGGTTATGGGAGTTTGTCTTTGTTTTCGCCGCAGAATATTCCATTGTAATACGCTTTGATGCTTCGTGGGTCTAAAGTTGGTCATCGAGACCCTCGCATGGTCTTTCCACGGGTTGGGCAGAATCCCGGCACACGGTCCTTCCCTAGAGTGCCTTCCCATCCATACCTCTGCCTGCAGACCCCAAGGCCCCTGAACCACAGGGGCTGCCACACCGAGGCTGTCTGTCTGTCCTGCAGGTCGGGGACATCGTCATGGTCAAGGAGGACGAGACCTTCCCCTGTGACTTGATCTTCCTCTCCAGCAGCCGCGGGGATGGGACCTGCCACGTGACCACCGCCAGCTTAGATGGAGAATCCAGTCACAAAGTACCGTGCCTTTCATTTGGGGCCATGCACGGGGCACCGTGGTTGCAAACCCAGTGTTCCCGGGGGTTACGGAGAAACCGGGGGAGCTGGGCCGGCCACACGGCTCCTCACTTTGATTCTCCCCACATCCCACCGTTGCCTGTTCCCCCTCAGGGTCCATAGCCACCAACCACTCGGGTTAACAGAAGTGACTTCATGTTAGTTCTTAGCTGTGTCACTGAGTGGAGGGACCAGGATGCAAGGAGTAGATTGTGGGAATTTGGAAAATTTTCATTTTACTGGTCAAAATTAGTGTCTTAACTAGATGGAGTTATGTGAAAAGTCACATGGGAGTCTAGATTTTTGAGGACTATCACTTTAATGAGTGTCCTTTCGTTCAAATGTCTTAATAAGGATTTTCTGAACTTAGAATTAAGTTCTTATACTCAGTATGGAATTCTGTACTGCCAGTTGGTGCTACGAAACTTTAACAATCGCAAAAGAATAGAACATACCACTATTTAAAGATTTCATTATTTTTAAAACAATGGGAGCTTCCTAGGAGTTTAAGAAATTAGTGAGCGTGGCTCAGTGGACCCAACCATGTCTGAGGCATTGGTCAATGGCAATTAATGGTGGGATTTCTGTGGTGGGAAAGAGATATTTTCTTCCTTTTATGGGTAATTCATATCATTGTATAAACCCTGTGGGACTTTTGGGGCACCTTTCCTATGTAGGCGTCCCGAGAGGGCTAATATTCTGGCACGATCGATGGTGTTTGTGGGGGGTGGAAGCCCCCGGGAGAGCCAGGTGACTGTGGTGTCAGGTGTCTGAGTGTGGGGATCATGTTCCCGTGTCCCTGACACCCGGTGAGCCACGTGGACCCCGGCTGTTGGCACCGGGTGGCCCCTCGTGCCCGTCCTGCGGGAGGGATGCCCCAGCATGGCTAGCACCTCTCGTGCGGTTGTGCTCAGCGTCCTGTGTGCTCTCTGACGTCACATCTGCACATCTGACCAGGGCTGGGCGCTGGAGTTACTGAGCTCCTCCCGTAAAAGACACCAGGGCTCCCGCACTGGTCACAGTCACGGCCCGTGTGACCTTGGGCAGGCATTTTTTTTTTTTTT